AGGAATTGTCTGTTTTGGAAATAGGGCCAGACTTATAAAATGGGAGGGAAGAAAGGAAGTGAAGCAATTAACCATAACAGTGTTCTGACAGCATAAGGTGGTCAGGCTACGTGTGGGGGCTGAGACCCTGATCCTGCAAGGTTTCCTCCTCCAACAGCTGCATGGGTCATCTGGCCCAGAACATTCTCTGATGCAGTGAGCAGAAGTCAGGCACTTGGTTTCAGGGGCCTGAGAAACACATTGCTTGGAGAGGAGTAGCAGAAGGGCTGGGGAAACCTTGGAGGCTTCATGGAGAAGCTATCCTTTGAGCTTAGAGAATATACAGACTCCTGAGAGGCACAGAAGGGCAGCCCATGGTGAGGGGCCAGTTCACACTGCCCGTAGATGTCCTTGAGATCCCGAGGGCCATGTGATCTTTAGTAGGGAGTCCCACCTCAGCCCCTCTCCTCTCTCTTCCTTCAATCCTTTCTTGTTGATTTATAAGAACTCTTTATATATTGAATATATGAATCCTTTTTGTAATAAATACCTATCATTAACATATTATTTATGATAGGCTTGGATAAGTAATGCCATAAATATTCTTATGTTGAACATTCCTCAGTCTTCTTTGATGGGCTTTCTGGTCCCAGGCTGCTTCCTGTTGCTGTACTTTGAGTTCTCACTCTCCTGTGCACATGCCAGGTGCTCAGGAAAGGCTGACACTGGAATTCGGTTGAAGCTTGAACAAACAGCTGTAGGAGAAACAAGCTGCACTGCCTCTGCCAGCTGAAGTCCCTTCCCCTGGGCATTTGCTCACTTCTCCCCACCTGGAAGAGGTCTAGCCTAAGACCTGGTGAGCTCTGAGTTCCCTCCAGGCTTCAAGATGATGGGGCAGGAAGTTCCCAGCGGGGCAATGCCCATGTACTAAGGCAACTTCTTGAGATGAGTACTATTATTAGTCTTACTTTACAGGTGAGAAAAATGGAATGCAGGAGGTTCTGTGAGTTTCGTGAGGCTGCAGAGGAAGGAACAGAGACAGAATCTGAGTCCAGGGCATAATACTACAGAGTTCTTACATTTCCCGACTCTCCTGTGCCTTTTGAGAACCCATAGCTCTTGGGATCGAGTCTAAACTTGTTAATATGACATCCAAGGCATGGCAAACCTCAGTTTCTCTCCTTGTCAGCGAATCACCTTGGCCCCCAGCTGGTTACTTTGTACACATTCACCTTCTCTGTTCTTAGGTCACAGCATGTGCTCTGACTGTCTCTCTCTCTACTTGCCCCTAGATCCAAATCTCCTAGTATGTGAGAGTGCCTAGTTGGAAGGATGATGTGGACCACTGCCTCCTTGGTTTGCACACAGGAGTAGTGAAATTCAGAGGCAAGGAGAGCCCTCCCCAGGCCCAGGGTGAGGAACACAGCTGGGATCTGCTCCCAGGTCTGTAGGACTCATCCTGGGCTGATTTGAAGTGTTGTTACTCCTCCCTGGTGCTATGGTCCAAACCAGGCTGGGCTCTGTGTTTTTACAGTCTTGGGCTCACTAACACTCCCCCAGGATGCCTCTCTGGCCCTCTGCCCACCAGGCTAGACACCTCTCCCTGGGTTCCCAAGGGCTGTGATATGGTTTCATTGTGATTCCTGGTTTCTTTGTTGTCTGCCTATACCTGCTGGCTCCTCTATGAATCCTTAGTGGCCAGCACTGAGTGTGACAGTGGGCAGACCCTCAGGAAAGACAAACTGCGAGAGGTAGGCCAGAGAGGGACAGAGACCTGTTGGAGCAGCACCTATAGCCCCATGAACCCCCATGTGCCACCTACTTTTGCGTCACCACAAAGCCTAGGGATGGGGCACTGCCATCGTAGCAGAGGGCACCAGGGGCCTCTATCCCTTGCTGCTTCCAGGGGCCTGGGGCCAAGGACACCCTGTCCCCTTTCTGTCCTCCCTCTAAAGGATGTTCTCAAGATAAAAATACTATCAGAGCATTCCGTGGTGTCTGGTATAGCTGTCTTCTGAGATGGTGGGGTCAGAGACTCTTGCCCTGGCCTCACCTCAGGGATGGATGTCCACCCCTCCTAACCATGCAATGCAGCCTGACTCTGAGGTCAGTTGTCCATCCCCACCATTCAGGCTGCAGGAGGCAGGGATCACTTGGGCATATCCTGGGCACCCAGGAGCACGGCAGCCAGGTTGCTGCCCCATGGATCTGCTGGGGTATCTTCTGAGGGTGGTCAGGGACACATTAGCTCTTCATTGGCTGGTGACTTGTACTAATGCTCTTAGCTGCCCAAGGGGGAGTGATGTGCTGGAACAACGCAGGGAGGGCCCACACTGAGTGTGTGTCTGCTGGGTACTTGGTTTGCCCCTTGAAAGTACTGAGGCGTGTGGGGTCTTCCCATTTTGTAGGAGGGGATCCAGGGTCTAAGTAAGCCAGGGTAGCCAGATCCCCTGGAGAGCTGCTGCCAATGCTGCCACCGGAGCCCTGCTGGTGCCAGGGCCTGTCCCTGGCCCTGTGCCTGCTCATACCTCCCATCACCACCTTCAATTTCCTGGGCACATCCGCTGGGAGGCCAGGGAAGCTGTCATCATCATCTCGATTTTCTGGAGAAGGAAGCTGAGCCTCAGGAAGGGGAAGTGCCTTGCCCTGTCCCCTGGGGTGGTTTCAGCTTTGGCCTTGCTGGCCAGGTTTGGCACTGGGAGAACTCCAGCCAGTTCAGCCCTGCCCCAGGCCAATCAGGCCTGTCTGGGCCCCTCTGTCCTGTGGAAGCCCTGGACATACCCAGTCTCCCCCACCCAGGATGGTGACCACAACCCAGGATAGCATTCAGTGAACTTGTGAGGGTTAAGACCCTGTGGGCTGCAGCAGCTTCTGGAGGCTGGGAGGAGGAGCCTAGACATGGCCAATAGAGACCTGTGTTCCCGTCCCCATGCCAACACTCACCAAATCTAAGACCTTGGGCAAGTCACTTCTCTGCTCCAAGTCTCAGTTTCCCTCTGAGCAGAGTGAAGGTAATCATAGGTGAGAACAAATTAGGGCTATATTTTTAGTTTTGGGGAAGACCTTACCAGGAAATAAAGAATCAGGAATGAGGTTGAGAGAGCATATGGCAGACCAAGGGTCTAACAGGAAGTGGGGAAAACAGACCCTCCACTCTTCTTACCCTTACTTCTCCTCCTCCTCCTCCTCCTCCTC